TATCTTAGACGGAATTCATGGTGGGCTAAACTTATATGACAGATAAGAAGATGATTTATTTAGTGGTTGAATCTGATTTAAATTAGGAAGTTGAGGTTTTTAGGAGAAGGTTACCATTAGTGCTTTTCTAATTTTCAAACTGTTTCTTTCAAATTTCAGCATAATTTCCAAAATAGAGTGCAAGATTTGTTCTGGGTCACAGCTTTAGTTTAGGTTTTTTTTTCATCCAAAGATTACAACTTTGGTTAGTTTTAAGGAATTTAGAAGCAATTTAGCCTTAAAAATGGGTTTACTGGTTAGTTTTTCTTTTTCTTATGGATTCATCTCTATTATTTGTTTATGTGAATATGTTAAATGTTTTCTGTTTTCTTTACTTTATTTTTACACGACTACCAAACTTATAGCTTGTTTAATTTCAATTTCTAGATTAATATTTAATTTTACAAATTTAAAGACTTTGATCAATTCCTAGATTCTTTTTTAGTTTTTAGCAATCAAGTAGTTCGATTACCTTTATTTTAAATCTACAAGTAGTTAATTTAATGTTATGAATTGTGAAATTAAAATCAGTATTTGTAATTCTTTGTTTACGAGTTTATTTATGTGATATGTTATCTTTATTTATTTATTTATTTTGTGTTATGTTAGTTGCCTTAGGATATTGTATTTAACTTAAAAATTTGTAACTTTTGTTACACTTTAGTTGTTATAAAGTTTTTAAAAGTGTGTAAGGTAATTAGTAATTCATTTTGCAGAACTTCATCATTTGTTTTGTAATATCATCCGGAGCACAATTTATTTTATATACATTCTTTCCAACTATTCTTTTTGATGTTGACCATTGAAAAGAAGAATGGTGATCCAAAAAATTTTATTTTCTTGTTTTTAAAGAAAGCAAGTGGCATACCTTATTTCCATACTTACTAGATAAGTATCAAGAGTTTTTAGGAAACACAGGTCTTACATGGTCAGATGCTGAAGATATGGACTCATCGCGTAGCTGAAATTACACAGCTTGGTTAGGTCTATGAATATAATCTATTGAACCTAACTATCGACAGGGTCACTCTTTCACTAGATGGGCAACGTGCTGTGGTAAAAGCAACCCTTGAGGAGTCTACTCACCTGACTGATGTTCATCGTCCAAGAACAATGCCTCCAACGTAAACATCTACACAACAAGATATGAGCTGTCTAGTACCGGATCAGGGTGGGAAATTAGCGAAGGATCTGTCTTCAAATCATATAATCGTGTAAATCCTAAGTAGGTAATAATGTAAATACATCTTTGTTACTTATTATTTTTACTGTTAGTAATTTGATTAATTCATCATCATTACTGAAGCGTCAAAAGCAATAAAGCATATAGTTTAACTAATATGAGGTGTTCAGCAAACCCCCCAAGTCTTAAGCTCTGTAGATACAATTTTAGTTGATTGACAAAAGAAATAGGTAGATTATATATCAACTCAGAAAGCATTCTCTCAGTTGGACCTTGGAATGATAATGGGAGGCAACTCTATTTCCAGGTGAATGATCTCCAGGTTACTTCTCGGGGCAAGAAGCTGAGTCCAAAGGCCTCTTTTGGGGCTTGACTAGGTTCTACAAATCCAATCAACTTTGCCACCAGAGCAGCACTCTTCTTTATATGCTCCATGTCTTTTGCATCTGTCCATAAGCGTCGTGCCAATTGCAAAGCCCTCTGCTTTGTGTTCAACACAATACCCCAACTCTTGTAGAGCTCTTCTCTCTCTTTTCTTGAGAACTTCTTCTGGACTTGCCTACTCAACATTGCTCTCTCCCTGTTCAGACCCTTCATGCTGCTTCCCCACCCCACACCCCCCCCCCCCCCCCCAAAAAAAAAAAGAGTAAGAAATGGTTTTGTGCTTTTTCTAAAATTGTAAATTCCTGAGATTTACTTAATTAATATATGAACAGAGATAAACCTTTACCTAGACATTGTTGTGAAGCTGTGACTATCATTCCTAACATTAGTTCCAGGTGGGAGTGAGTTCTTCAGAAAAGACAGCCTCCTGAGCTCAACCTCCATGTACACAGCATCTGAAGGATCACCTTTAAAGAGAAGGAAGAAATAGGTTCTGTGTATTAGCGGTACGTGGCATGCATCCCAAAGTTCAATTATTTTTCTCTGCTGCATCTCAAATTCTGAGGGAGTAGGAGGTTCTTGGCCATTCTTTATGTTTTCCAAGGATTCATCAGCGTTGGCCGCAGATTCCTGAACCTACGAAGTATCCATAATTATCCCTAGTTAAGTTCGTTATGCTGTGATTAATAAAGATAAATCAAATTATGATCACATGCGAGGAAAAGCACGCGGAGAGTGGGGGTGCATATTCTCACCAAAACATCAGCAGATTGCTTCTCGGATTGAGGATCCATTTTTCTCATTCCTGGAACAAAATCAAGAGAGACAGAAGTTCGTTTTCTCACTGAATCATCACCAAGTTGCTTCTTCATATCTCCATCACATTGCTTATTTGACTGAAGTGTCAATTTCCCTCCAGCAAAATCAAGGGAGAAATTTCGTCTTCTATCAGGATCATGACCTAGTTGTTTCCCCAACTGAAATTTGGCCCTTCCATTCAGTTCTGGGCCTACTGGCACAGAATCATGGATGCTCATTGTATCTTCTACATCAAAGCATTCCAGCGTCTGTGCATCAAAGGACCCACAACTAAGAGTTTCTCTTCTTGAGATATTTGGGGAGTTATATTTCAATCCAGAAAATGGTCTTCCAGGAAAGTTCCTTTCAAATCCAGTAGGTGGTGTGCCAGGCAGCGATGATGCTGGAGTGTTGAGAAACGTGCTACAACTTCTACTTCCACTTGTGCCCCAACTACTAGAACCGGATGTATCCGAGTGAGTCGGAGATTGCTCTACATCCTGAACACTGATTAGATAGTCAATGGTCCCTTGCAATTCCTGAATTTTTTGTCTCAAAGCGTAACAAGTTTCATCTGCATTCATTGGATGACTTGGTGCATCCTTCTGAGAGAATGGCACTGAATCTTCAATCATGGCCATTGTACCTGATTTTTCTTTTTCCTGTAAGAAGTCATCATCTTCTGTTTTCATGATGATGTCCTCAGGCATGGCTAATTTTCCTTCATTGTCACCTGCAATGAATGAGGAAACATCTGGTTTTACTTTTGTCTCTTCAATTTCGGTGAGACTATCATCGTTAGCCTTCCGCTCAATTTCAATGCATCGAACATCCTTGCAGAAGTCTTCGGACTCTTCTTCCGTTTTCCGAGCTATCTCCTCCCAACCTTGACATGGATCAAGCCCGATGAACCCAGGAGTACTATCATCCAGCAGAAAATTGTCATCAGGATTCTCAGAATGCTCTAGCCATTGGTTGTAACTAGGCGTGTTGGGTCCATTGAAACTCCCAAGTTTGTTGAAAGCAGCCACATGTTGAGGATTGACAAAATTTTGGCCTTTCGTTGCTAAATAGTCATTTTGTTTTGGTGTTTGAACTCCTTCAACTGATCTTATCAGATTTTCAACTTTAGATTGAGCAAGGTCACGTTGCCTGGTCAATTCTTCAATCTCTCTAGCCATCTGTTAACTCCCATAATAGAAAGTTAGAAGTTAGCAATACTTGATAAGCATAGTCTTAACTTGAATCTGTTGAGGAAAGTTCATCATCACCTGTTCAATCTGAATCTCTTTCTCTTTAAGTAATGTTGCACTATCACCCCGGCCAGAACCAGACCCTATTTTCTTCATCTCACTCTCCAACATAGCCAATTCTCTTTGCAATTGTTTTACCAATGCCTTATCCGACATCACTAGATTGACCTGAGCATTAGTTGAGACCTCTTTGGCACAGCTTGCAAACAAAAGGGTGTTTCTTGATTGCTCAACATGACTGCGTGCTGGACTCATGGTGCAAATTATGGCTGTTCTGCCATTGCCTCCTAAGGAATTCTGGAGTATGCGTGTCAGCTTGGAGTCTCTGTATGGTACATGCTGCCCATTTCTTCCCTTGCTGCACATGATCATGAAAATACATGGACAAGAAGCAACAAAGTAAACTTAAGAAGAGGAAACACTAAGGCAAAGGAGAGGGAATATAAGAAAATGGTTTTCACATGAGAACAAGAAGCACAGAAACCAAATACCACAAATCAACAACATACTGAATTGCCAAAATGAAAAGATCATCCAACCTTAATTTGCGGATCACAGTTCCAAGGGTTAGTAAACTCCGATTAATGTGGCAGCCTTCTTTCAATCTTGTACCCGCAGGAAATGTTTGAGAAGCACGCTCGCTTCCAGCTAAATCTACAAAATTCTATACAAGAGAACAATGAAGACAAGTTTTTCCCTTTTCATGTTAAAGAAAACCGCTATAGATCTTAAAGATAAGCTTTTATAATTTGCAAAATTTGAATAAAAAAAGAAAAGAAAAAGGAGATAATTGTATCAATACCACAGAGGCTGTAAGAGAGCTTGAATTTCCAGCTCCAGAATAATCACAAGCAGAACTTTCAACTGTCTGCAAGAATGCATCATTTCATTTAACAAAATAGTTAGCTTCCTAAAGATGGGCAATCTTACTCAAATTCCGGATATACTTACCAGTCGAAGAATCTGATGAGACCTAGAGCTAGTTTCATTCAAAGAGGTTTCTCCTATCTGCCTTTGAGCTGTAAGAAAGTGATGGATAAAAGTCCACACGTAAGGGGATCACCCTTAAAACAAAAGCAACGAGGATATATGTAATGAAAATGAGTACGTACAAGGCTTACCTTCACAAATGGAAAGGAGCTCCTCCAGATGCTCCTTATCTCTGAGAATCTCCTCAATCAGCCTCTCAACAACTGTTCCTCTCTGTTGAATCAAAAACAGTTTGCATTGTCATGTTGACCGGAACCAGGCCAACTAAACCACAGAAAAATCAAGAAGATAAAATAAGGTAAAAGAAGGGGAGGAAAGATCACGTCTGGATCATCTAGGAGTCTGAGTGGGGTACTGTCCAAACTAAGAAGATCTCTGACAGCTTCATTATATATCTCCATTGCGGAAAATTTTAATACAAATTCACGTTCTTGATGCTAATTAGAACAGATCAAAAGAAAAAGTCACTTCCCATTCTGTAGCCAAGGAATAGAATTTACTTCCAAATATATATATTTCAATGAGAAGGACTAATGCAGTAATGCTAAAATCTACCATTTACCTTCTCTATGTAGTCATATATATCAGCTACTGCATATTCAGTAATGCCCTGCATCGTGTATGTCTTTCCACTGCTTGTTTGCCCATA